ATTCAATATTGAAGCATGCAATTTAGGTAAGAGGACTTGTGTACCCAGATCATGGACCTTGGAAAAGTTATTTAACTTCTCTGATATTATTTACTTCTAAAATGAGAACGCTTCCTCTCTCTAAGGCTAAAATTAAAGGAGCTAATGTGTACTGGTTTGCCCTTCTAAACCATAAATTCAAATTTCTGCACTCTTTGTTTTATAAGCATCATCTCCTTTGAGGATGTGAAATTGACAGAAATATATTGAAAATTTAACAAATGCAACAAGCATTAATAAGTTTTAAGTTAAACTGTATTCATAAAAAATTTGAGTGTAAGTTTCAAAATAAGCATTTTGTGATAGTTACAGTAGTCAAATAGTATACTCCTGGTCTCATTTAAAGTTTTTCTAGAGGGCAAATTCATTAATACATATGCTGTAACACTCTCTTGCATAAGTTTCTTCATATGTACAAAGATGTGGGATTTTTCATTTGTAACTCATTTAAAAATATTTGACTAATTTTTCAGAGGACATTCAAAAGTTACAAAAAATACTGGATAGCTGAAGCACGCAGTAGCCAGAATGATTACTAGGGTGGAACAGTGGGATATTTCCTGCACATATATCTTAATATCCACCTTTGTTACTCACAGTCATTCAGTGTGTAGGTATCTCCTTCCTGCTTTTCAAGGGCATTCCTTTTGATGATTACTTGGTTTTAGATATTAATCCATTTCACAGTTCTCACAAACAGGTAAATTGTGTTAAATGTTCAGCAAATTTTCTATTTTACAGTAAAACATAAAACACATCTATACAGGCTGGTTTGCAATGCCTCAACAACTAAGATTTAAGTGAATACTACAGAGTGAATACTACAGTACAGACTTTATTTGAGAGAGAGAGACAGACAGGCAGGCAGGGAGCAAGTATTCTCAGCAGGGTCCTGACATGGTAACCTACCCCAACCAGCCCAGGATGAGGGACACATGGCTACTCAGTGCGTTGGCCTCTGGACAAACCCATGTGGGTCTGCCTCACAGTGTTGTGTTGTAAAGCAGTGCCCTCACTTAGCCTGCGGCTGATCTTTCAGTCGATAGAAAAGTAATTCAGAGGTACACCTTCAGAATGAAAATAGTTGACATTTAGTCTTTAAAAAGTAAAGGACAGTTCTAAGTACTGAGGAGTCAAAGGATTTAATAACTTTATTACACACAGCAGTAAGCATTCAATATTTCAAAAATCCAGACTTTTTTTAATTAATAAGTGATCACGTAACAAAACTCAGCTGTCAGGCACTTGTCCTTATTTTAATGGACTTGTGTTCCTTTATTACTTGTCATGGAAGTTTTGAGGTCAGAGTAAAAATTTTGAAATTCATATTTCTCTAATTGCAGAGTTGTTCTTTACATCTTAGTGGGACTTGATGCAGCCTAAATAGGAGTCTGAAAGTGGTATGGCAGACAAAAATTAAATACATTTAAAAAGATTATTTTCTTATGTCTTATGCCATCCTGTAAAACTTTCGAGACAAAAAACCTTTCTTTTAAAAGGAGTAATATCCTCTCAAAATCCTCTTTCCCACTGAAACAGCCAAAAACAATGTATTTTGCTATAGGCTACTAGAACAAGCATCTGCTTTTATAGATTTATCGCAACATCTCTTTCATTTCAATGTTGGGTAAAACTTTAATGTATTTTATGTTTCTTCAGCATCAAACCGAATCCGCACAATCAATGCTGAGTATCTAGGTGCCCAGGCAGTATAAAGCTGCTGATTAGGGGGTAATTTAAAACTTTGACCTAAGGCAACATTTTGAGAGATCAAGAGCTTTTCCTTTTACACTGAAGGGACATTCTATTTACATTCCATTGTAGTTTCAGTTGGTGAGGATAGTGTCCACCTTCCATTCAAACACTGTTGAAAAAGCATGCCATACTTCCATTTTGACAATGGAGGGCAGCTATTAACTATTTGGAACAAAAGCTGTTGGAGGATTAAAAAAAATGATTATTTTTGTAAAATACACAAATGGCTAGTTATCTGAAATTAGAACCATTTGAGTATTAAACTAATATAAAACAAGACGTACAGTCTTTTCTTAAAACATGAATTTGATTATTACCATATCACCTTAATATTTCTGAGTGCCTACTTTGTACCTAGCACAGAACTCCACATTAGGAATTTAAAGTTAAAATTAAAAAGCAGTCCTGCTTTTTTCACCTTAGTGGGGAGACCACAGGAAAAGCAACAAGGTATCAGAGCTCTGATACAGGATATATACTGGATGTCCAAGATGCACTTTTATTTAATAAAATAAACCAAAGGTGACATTCTTAACTTCCTGAGTGGAGTAAGGGCAAAAACTCAGAAAACGGTAGCATATGGAATTGACAAAGAGAGGTCTAACTCTTCAGATGACTTAATCATTTTTGCTTTAACAATCTCTTAAAATAGGATTAGATTTGCACATCTGAGATTACTGGAATCAGAGGTATACCCATAAATGTTTAGAATCAACCAAAATTATAAAAAATAAAAACTTCTCTCCACTTTTTTTCAGCTCTGTTGTAGCTTTTTAATTCCTGAGAGGTACACACTTAATTGGTAGTGAGAAATGCTTGGAGCTAGGTTTTGACATATAAAATCAGGGAAACAACTTCCAGTAAATTGCTTCCAATCAAACCTAGCATCCCTTCAGTTCAACTGTGCTCAGACTCATGTAGTTTTTTTTTTTCTTTTCCTTTCATTGGAATTTTAGATAGCTCTTTCACCGGAATAGGCATTTTTCATTTATCATTTCACTTGTATGCCATCTGACTAGAGGCCACCTGGCCTCAAAGTCCAACCTGTCGGGGATACAGCCCGGACAACTAAACGACAAAGGCATCACCTTTGGCTGGAGAATAGGCTCCACCTGTTGAGGTCAGTTGGTTTTTCAGGGCTGGCTTGCTTCTCCCCTCCAGGTAAGGATGGATTGAAACCACTCCCGTACCTTCAGAGGAGTGCCTACCCCGAGGCGTTTAGGCAGTTAACTGCAAACAGCTGCAACATCTGCCCCGCTGCCTCGCCTCAGTCGGTCGAAGGGCGAGGGGACCACATGGCAGCCGCGACTGCACAAAAGGCAACACCTATCGCAGGGAGCCACCAGCCTTGGGTGGACCCCACAGCCCCCGGCACTGGGGAATCCCCCTTGGGGGGCGAGGGCGTATGGGGCCCCGGGCGAGCCCAGGTGAGCTAAGGGGGAGGAGGGCTCCGCCACGCGCCGAGGAAGAAAGCCTGACTCATGTCGTGGCAGTGGCAGTGGCAGTGGCGGCGGGCTCCTGGGAACTGAAACTCGTGATGCTGTTGCTGCGGAGAAAAGCCTCATTACCCATTCCGCAGGCGGGGGGACACCACCCGGGGCGCGCACACCCGAGACCGGGCGCACCAGCAGC